TATATTCGAAGTCGGTAAATCGCTATTTTATCTTCTCAAATCAGATTTCGGTAAGTCGAATGATGTTTCGATTTCACGCATATTAACGGCATGCTCTTGATGAATATAATATGCACATTATCGGTGTAATATCTCCTACAGAGACAACCTCAATAACATCAACAATATACGTAAATAGAGAGTTTTATATGCATATATGAAAACAAAATGGTACAAACCAGTGCCAAAAGCAGATTTCTGGGGCTGTGGAACTGATCCCAGTCTCTTTCCTTTGCAAACAGTGCCATGTTTTCCTTGAGCTCTACGAGGCTCAGTTCTTCACCTGATGCTCCATTCATTTCTTCTCTGTTTACTGATGCCGGCACCACCACCGTTTGGGAGTTGCTCATTAAGCTTGCTAGGAGCTTCCATAAGAGGGAGAGGGTAGGGAGCGTATATAATGCGGAGGGAGCTGATATACATATGAGCTAATGTCAAATTAGCCCTAGGGGGGTTTAATATTAATTGCTATAAATTAGAGAGGAAATAGAACAGTAAGCCTCTTTTTGACCATCATTATTTGGGGAAATTGGAGTTTTAAATAATAATTTCTTCGAGAATGTTTAGTTAAAAAGTAAGAAAAAAATTTGAATTTATGTATAGAATATGTTATTGCGTGAATATGTGGTTGAAAATAAGTATGTAGAAAAAAGAGTTTGAAAATAATAATTGTCAAACAAGAGCAAAATTGTGAATATTCTCTACAGTTTGAGAATAGAAGAGTTTAAAAAATGAAATTCAAACGAGGATTTTATATGTTACAATTGGGGTTGTAAAGAAGAATAAAGCTAAGGGCATGTTTGGGTCGAATTAAAATCAGATTTTAATCCAATTCAAAGTCATATAATCAATATTAATCACATCTTTCATGGATTCCACATCTTTTTAACCACACATTTCAAAAACATCTATCACAATTCATTAAAAATCTAATTTTAATCCCCACCAAACACCCTCTAAGTGTACAACATTTATTGACAACACTGGTTGACAACCACATGTTGTCAAAATTCTAGCATGTGATTTAGAAAACAGTTTTTTAAAATGAATGAATATGATGATATCAAATAAGATGTTATCAATTAATGTTGCACTTGTTGCAAGATCCTTGTAAAGAAATAACGATCACTCACAAATAATACTTTATTTGCAATACTCATCACTGAATGACAATTTGACTATTTATATAATAATTGACTCATTAAAAAATCTTGTCTGACAAAAAATATGATGGGACAAAAATACCAAACCACAAAAAAGAGTATAAAAAAAAATTTAGAATAATAAAATGTTGTCTCGTTAGAGTCTAATAAAAAAAATCTAATAGGACAAAACTTGATCCAAGAAAAAATGTGCAATTACTGCCTTGATTTCAATTAATGATAATCATTGTATTGAGTCATTTATGTTATGTATGTCAATGTCTTCAATGTACAATTCTAATGAAATATGTTTCATATTGTCTTGTTATAACCCCAATCAATATCATCTTCATACAAGATATCTATCAATCTTTGGTTAACTTTAGTCAGCATGACGGTCACTTGAAAAATAGAATTTGTTGTGCACTTTTCGGGAGTATTCTATACAAGCCCCTATTTGTTTCAGTTAAAAAGTGGATTAAATTAAGTTAAAGTCAATAATTAATTTTAATTACATGTTTTATGGGACCTACAAATTTTCCATCACGTATTTTCATCAACTTTTATCAAATTCACCATATATCTAATTTTTATCTAAACCAAACTGGGGTTAAATACATACGAGAGTAGAATCATAAGGTTATAAATAAGTAAATGTCTTTTAGGTTAATAAACATTCATTATATACAAAATATGCCTCGTTAGAACCTTACTAGAAAAAATCACGAGGGGAAAAATGTAACCGAAGGAAAAATAATATATTATTCTTTTGAGTATGTTACAAATGTTACCTTATTAAAATCTTGCAATGAAAATTCAATGGTACAAGACCTTGGACAAGGAAAAAGAGTTCAATGAGTATTTATTCTCTTTCACGATAATATCACTTGAATTATATGTTTAAGGCATAATAATTTTTTTAGTGATATTATTAATAGTCATGTCAGATGAGTTAGTATTACCACTTTTATTATAAAACATCAAATTTTATGGATTACCACGATAACAAGATATAAACTTATGATTGTATCGACCCCATAATAATTTATTTATAAATACAAGTTTTTGCCAAATTTATGTTAAAAGCCGCCATTTCATACCATGACTTTATTTTTCAAATTTCCCTTCTGCATAAATATATGCATTTAGGTGTTTGGACTGTTTGTATACTTCCAACAGTGTATGTCTTCTTCTTAAGACCATTCTCAGCTTACGAGCGGGTACTGGATAAGTAGGTTTGCCTAGGATAAAAATCTGCATGCATGGCAGAAAATCCACTCGAGGAGAAAATTAAATAATGGCAAAATTACGTAGAAACCTATTTTGATGTTTACATTTCAATAATCAGGTTAGACGAATTTTGTTTCAGAAATCAATTGCCAACCCACCTCATTCCACATCCACTGCCATCCCTATTTTCACCTCTACCCCGATTGACGATGGTCATGAGACAAAGAAGCAGCAGAAGTGGCAGCACAAGAAGCAGCGACGTTTGGACGTGTGGCAACGATGACCTTCTAGCAATTTGGGTGGTATGATCTGCAACGTTCCATGCATCTGTGCATGGGCGGACCTAGGGGGTCCTGGGGGGCAAGTGCCCCCACCCCCCACAACTTTTGAAAAAATATATATATTTTTTTTAAAATCATGTTTGGTATAGATTAAAATCTAAATTTTATTTAAATCAAAGTTAAAAATTAATTTTAATAACATATTTTATGGAATCCATAACTGTTTTAACTTTTTTTCAAAATTTACTAAAAAATTGATTTTAATTTCCATCAAATAGGG